TGCTTTGTGAGGAACCTTCCCCCATGGTTCGAAAAGGTCAGATCCAACAGTGTTGGACTTCTTTGGTGGTGGTCCTGGAGGTGGCTTGGGACCATGGGTGAAAACAGTCTTTGGCGGCACTGACCCCTGGTCTTTCGGCGCGGCCTTGGGGAATGACTGCATCACTTGAACCTGTTTCTTGGAGGTGGGCTCAATCTCGACAAAGGGCACAGGCTTGCGCCATGCTGCCTCCGCACTTGATGATGGACCTTCGCCATCAAGATTTGGTGGCCTGCATGGATGCATGCATGTCGTAAACAATACCCCCACAAATCCCTACCATCGTGAACTGAGACCCTACATGAAAGATATGGTCAAGATGCATGAGCTGCATGAATGCCTGTCTTCCAACGGAAGTTGGAAAGTCATCCGGCTACCACACGATTCCTGCAACTATATATGATTCATGCATGCCATGAAGTAGATTTCATGCATGATCATGAATGAAGTCAGCATTATCAAGTCTGTCTCTGGAGGCAGTCTGTGAATCCCCATCCTGAAGAGGGATGGGCTTCGCCAAATCATGCATCACCGACGCAAGGTTTGGATCCTTCCAACAGATGATTGAGCCATCGATCATCTAAATTGAAATCGACATGTTCCCGCAACTTAAACATTTTCTCCTGGGACATTGCTGCGATAACATGGTCTTCAACCTGGCTTCAACAGGCAGCAACGGGCAATGTCATAGGTGCGCGCACTCCCGCATGCATGGAAGCTAAGGTGGACACTCCAAGTCTTCTCAGGACAGCTTCCCAGTTTTCTGGGTCATCCTGAACAGAGGCAAAAGGAAAACTATATATATATGTATATGTACTATTTTGTTTCATATCAAGTGCATACATGCTGAGGTCTTGGCCGGTGAAAGGTGTATAGGTGGAGCTATGGCCGCCCTTGCCGCTGCTTCCTGCATGGTGTTTCTTTGCAAAACTATCCAGCAAACACTACGTTGTACTCCATTGCACATTGGCCCCCCGCCTGATCAATCTCTATTCTACATTTTTTCCGGGGCGCCGCCATGATTCTTAAAAATCTGCGGGGATCTCGCAGCAGTTCGCATCATGCATGCCACAAGAGTAAAGTTGCACAAGTACAAGTACTCATCGATCATTAACAAAACTGACTGAAGCTGAGAACCCCAGGGCACAAAGCTCAAGGCAATGTCCGAGTCAAGGAGCCATGTACCTTCAACAATGCTATGCCCACCAAAAATCCATATGCATGTAAAATTTTGAGCCACCATCCTACTCATGCATGAAAAATAAGGCCATGCATTGCAACGTGCATGGAGTGATCATGGTTGAATTCAACTCAACGATCACATGTTGCCATGCATGCATGGGTATGAATGAATGAATTGGAACCCTCAAGGCCACATGCATGCATGAACATGAAAAGCTGCAGAAATGCATGTGCATCACAGTTTTTGACCATCGCTCATCGACGACCTTCCACATCCAAGCGTGTTCTCACGCTTCATCCGAACTGGCCATGGATATGTGCACCCACACTGGTGCGTCACACATGCACAATTGATGCATGTGATGAACCCCTAGCTAAAGAAAAGCAACCTGTCATACAGGGAAACCTATACGACTGAAGTTGCACCCCTCATGGCTGCAACGAGCCAAAGGTCAAAGTTCAGGCCCCGCCATAGCCTGTCAATTCAATAATGCATGCGTGCAATGTTGCACATAGCTTGCCTACATGTGCACAAGTACATGCATTACTGAAACCAAGAAACTTCTGCGTGCCAAGTCTTTCGCTGCATCATCCCCTAAGCCTTGGTTCTTAGCCTGTCTCCTGGCTTTGTGGTAAGCCGAACTTCTCTTCGATTCCTCTGAAGCATATTGTCCTCGAACTCGGGCCTTACTCTTAGCCTTGGGCTTCGGACAGGCCTTTGACGAAGCAGCCCGAGCTCGGGGTTTGGCCTTGGCTTTCGCTTTCGACTTGGCCTTGGGGCCTGGTTTCGCCTTGGGTCTGCCACGTGCCTTTGCTTTGGCCTTTGCTTTGGCCTTTGCCTTTCCACGGGGCTTGCGCCCAGGACGCTCGGGAGGCGGTAACCCAAGACCAGCATCCAACCACTTCTGGCACTCTGGGGGAATCGGCACAACCTGTGGCCAGAATGAATTTCAAATTCATGCGTGCATGATGTATGCATGGATCCAAGTGGTCAAATCTCAAAACCCTCCATGCATGTCAAACAAAAAATACCATAACCCTGCATGCATGTCAAGCAAAAAACGATATTATATAATTGAGCAACCTCTTCAAGAGGAGGATGCTCCACTGGCACTGCTTTCACATCGCTGCATGGTGGACACAGATCAGCTTCGTCCAAAGGCACTAGGCCTTCCTCATCGTTCATGATATCTCATTCAGGCTCCAGTGATGGAGACAAAGGAGACTCCAAACTGGCAACTCCCTCAGATTCCTGTGGTGGAGACAGGGGATCTTGCAAACCATCATTGGCATCCACCTCAAGTTCCTGTGGTGGAGACAAGGGAGCCATCAATGCATAACCATCACTGTTGATCATGTATTGGTCAGAGTCAAACGGTGAGCACAAAAGATATTTCCCCAAGGGCTCTTCATCGAAAGTCATTGATCCATTGTGTTCACCCACGATGCCTGGTACACATTCATCTTTGAAAGATGTCTGAGCTTTGCTCAAAGCACACGGCTGAAACTTGGAGGAAAAAGATTCATCCATCATCTGGGTCTCATCCATGGGTTGGGTCTCAAGGTTGTGACCCATCATCTGGGTCTCATCCATGGGTTGGGTCTCAAGGTTGTCCATATCTGAAGAAGAGTCAATCCATTTTTGTTCTGCACTGACTAATGGCATGCAATGCAAAAACAATGGCATATGCATGTCTTGAGGGCTGCACTGACAGCTGGTGGCCGTGGCATGGGATGGAACTTCTCAATCGTGGTAGCTGCACGAGCCCGCTGTGCTCTGGACAACTGAAGTTGAAGCAAAAGCTCAACTTCCTCCAGCTCCAACAGAAGGAGCTTCCGACCTTTCAATGGTACATGACAAAAACATGAACACCCCAACCATTCGATCGTATGAACTACTCCATGCATGTGGCTCACATACTCACGCATACCATGAAATGTTGATGGTCAAGGCACATTTGTCACTGTCCGGGTTGCTGGTCTTCTCGGGCGTCATCTTCGCAACATGAGCCCCTAGCATATGGATGCATGATGGCTCAGTCATGGAAGGTAAGTCAAACATGTATCAAGGAATTATTGGCCTGCAGGTTTGGGAGGTGGCGTCACATGAGTGCAGCCTCAGACGCAAATTGAATACGGACATGTTAACATATACGATACGACTGTTATGACAGTGATGGTTTCCATCTATCAATCATGCATGCAGGGGGCTGGTGTCTACCGAGCTGGCTTCAGATGTAGTGGAGCGAAGGTCTTGTGACTTTAACTGCATCTTCCTTGCCAATGCCATCGAGTCCTTTGAACCCTTCATAGGTTCAACACATCCAACAGCAGCACTCTGAGTAGAAACGACAGAGGGCATTTGCTCTGACCCCGTGGAGGCTGAAGCACTGCCAACCAAAGTTTCATCCTCCTGCACATGTTGAAGTTGAAGGTTTTCATTTGTCGTATTGAAACTTAGACCTAGGCAGGCATGCATGCATGTACTTGAAACTCATGGTCACCATCATCATGCATGAAGTACTGACCATTGTTGCAGTCAAGAGTCACTGTCCGACAAACTGCAGCTAGTCGAGCTGGAAGTGTCCGCATCTGACTCAGAATCTGGTCCTAACAAAGCCAATGGCCCAAGACCCCCAAAGTCACATGTTCTTAATACCCAATCCTGGCAAAGGAAGATTGGCAAGTGCATAGATCTTCCGGATTTCAGGACATCTTGGTCGATGAGGCCGCCTCAGGATGAATGAAAACTATACCATTTATGCATGATCAAATCCTGCATGATGTCCATTGCAAACAAACCACTTGGCTATGCGAGAGAATGCGTGCACCAGTCTCATCGCAATTTTTGCGTGCATCTTCGTCCTCGTGCCTCACAATCCAAATCTGATCATGCATGCTGTGCCCCATGCATGACTACTGCAACCATGCATGACTACTGCAACCATGCATGACTACTGAAACATTGCGTCACAGTGGCTACATACATCCATCCCTCTCGGCAGTGTCAACGCAAAAAACTGCGATGCAGTTTGCTCAAACATCGGGAGTGAGGGGCGAAGTCCACAGTATTTGATGGCCATACCTATGACCGCGGCATTCTTCTTCACATCACCTGGCCGGGGATTGCATCACTTCACATGCATGATCTAAATATAATTATATGCTTTGCTAGCTAGTATCTCACTCAGGATCCTACTTCGTTTGAGTTTCTTGTGCTTGGAGACCTCCACTATGGCATGCCTAAGGGCCATTGCTTGGATCTTTTCATCGTTCGCCCAAGCAGTGGCGAGTAAAGCCGCCTGCTCAAAGTGCGCCATGTCTGCAAATCTTGAGCCGGTTTCAAAGAAAATATGTGAGGCACCGAGTTTGGCGGCAAACCTTCGCTGAAACACAATGCATGCATGTGGCATGAATGCAGCATGCATGTGACATGAATGCAGCATGCATGAAACATGAATGCAGCATGCATGAAACATGAATGCAGCATGCATGATCTTTTATCTTGAAAACGTCTAAGACATGGATGCATAAGACAAAATCAGGGGCACTCCAAGATCAAATAGGGCCTGAACCCATGTATGGCATTTCCATGCATGAACCGTGCAGCTGACCTTCTGAAAAAAGATGTTGCGCAGGCCATGCTTAACATCTTCTGGGGCCACAACCCCCCATTTGACTCCTGTCACATGGCCCATTTGAGGTGAACATATGGCCACCAAGATGCAATGTGCACAGTTCACCAGAGCTCCTTCTGCCATGGTAGGTTACCACGGTCGCCCCCGTACTCTTGCCAAGCAAACGCTAATGGGAACGGGCAAATGCATATGAATTATACACCCAACATGTCTCACACAGTGCTTTCAACACCAAAACGATCCCAAAGGAACAAATCAAGTAACATATGAAAAATCATGTGCCAAAAAAAAATGTGCTCGATTTTATGGTTATATTTTTTTTGTGCTCGTTTGCATTTTTTGCGTACCAAATCTTGGATTGAGCACATTTTTCTGTACCAAAGGAAGGTCTAGGTCATTATTAAACAGTAAAAGCAAGTTTCCCCACCACCCAGGTTTCAAACACGGAGCATTTCTGGCTTTCCGCCGGCAGGCTGAGCCGCTCGATGAAGCGCAAGGCCAGTCGGATAGCGCTGTCAGTCAGATGCAGTGGAACGATAAGTATGTAACCAATATTGACAACTGGATGTGTTCGAACATGCAGTATATTGACTCAATGGCCAGTTACCAAGAAACATGAAAGGTTGATGTGTTACATGATCTTATTATGTTTTACTATGCTTTACCATGTTTTACCTGTTTTTTCATGTAAAGGTCATAAAAGATCAGTGACGAACATATTGTGGCATCTGAAACTGTGATGAACCAACGAGATTTCTACCCCTTGGTCTTCTGTTCCGCTTTTCGCCGCTTTTCGAGGTCTAAAGGACCCCAGAAGTTTCATCGACTTCTTGACGTCTGCAGACATCCGCCTAGTTCGCCTCGAGTTTCTGCTGGAACTTCATCAAGATGGCCTTGCGATGCCACGGCGGCAGGAAGCCGAAACGATGTGCACTAAGAATGGCGCCACAGCCCTGGTGACGCTGGAAGAGTATCAACGGTTGCTGGTCAATGACAATACAGGCATGGCATGTTACATTGTTTGTTTGATGCTTCTGATGAGGTTAGGATATTTAGATATGATATAATTACTATGAATTAGTATGATATAGTTAGGATGTATCAATTGCGATGTTTTAATAGTGTCAACCCCGGACAAAAAGACCCTGGGTTGATGAATTACAGTAGGAGGCTGCCCAATTACAGTAGGAGGCTGCCCCCAAACAGGTGATAACTGGCTACCTATATGCTACCTCTCAACAACATCAATAAAGTAGCCTGGAGGTTTACTGTGGTTTACGCATCCAGGATCATCCCCGCATCAAGATAATATTCGGATGTATTGTATTGGGATCTTCCCTCCACTGACTTGGCCCTGGTGGCGGCAGGGCGTGTACGTTTATAACTCATACTACATGTCTCAATATAGACTTATACAATGATTAAAAAATAGGATTATGTTGACTGTACGACCATATCCCTAAGTATTGAAACCTTTGTGTCGCTCCACTTCCCTGTCAGGTCATATCTCTATTCGTGCAGGTCCGAAGCATCAATTGGTCACAGTCCATTTTCGGTCGCTAAGCCACATGTGGGAATCCATGCAACACCCGGACCCCTGGAGATATCAACTTGGTGTAGCCGCTGAACTATACCAAAATCTCCAGGATGTGGTCTGGGTGTTCGTGGATTTCATCAGCCTGTATCAATACAAGCGTAATGACTCTCAAGACAGCAGCTTCCGGAAGGCCTTAGATAGGATGCACATGCTGTACTCCCATGAAATGGTCCAAGTCGACATCTTGGAGGACCTCACACCAGAAAAGATGAAGGTGGATGGCACCCTTTTTGTCTATGACCCAACCGAAGATGCCATGAAGTGGGTACCGATCACATCGCTGAAGCTCAACCCACTCCCGCACGCTCTCCGGGGCTGGTGCCAGGCCGAAAAGGAATGGGCCCGGCTGCGGATGATGCTCACCGCCATGGGCATCCCCACTCCTCCGGAGATCTTCCGGCAACGGATGGGGCAGATGAAATTCACCCACCGGGATGATGCGGAGCAAGTCTTCCAGCTCCAGGCGAAGGTGTTTCAAGAGAAGATCAGTGGCACGACCCACCTGCATTTGGAACGGCTGAGTGCCCAAGATCTGGAAGCCCTGCATGAGGCATTGCCATATTATCAGAAGCTGCAGTTCGTGGTGGTCAATGGTATCAGGCTACATGGCAGGGATGCAGTTGCTTTGGTGCAGTCCGGGGCGCATGATGTGCAGATGGAATCCTGTCAGTTGCAAGATGAAGATGCGATCTTGATTGCGGAGGCATTGGTGAAGGACAAGACAGATCGCTTGCGAGTGCTTAGCTTGACTGGAAATGGTCTCTTGGTAAATTTTTGAAATCTTTGAACTTGAAATTTCTGGCTATGAAACCCAATGGAGATACTCTCTGGTTATTTAACATAGCCATGGAACATGGCCCATTTATAGATGGTTTACCTATTAAAAATGGTGATTTTCCATGGCTATGTTAGTCATGACCAGAAGGTATCTTGTTTGAAGGGAGCAAAAACTCAGGCATCAGCGAAAAGGGGCGCTCGGCCCTTCACCAAGTGATGGAGCAACGCCCGGATCTGAAGATTTCCATGTGATGAGTGAGTCGGAGATTGAAGATGGTTAGTGACACCGGTTTCATGTGATTGACACCGGTTTCAAAACAGAACGGCCCTAAACATGGGGGAGTGATTTTTGCTCTAAACATGGTGAAAAATACTGGTATTTACAGTGTTTTGTGACCAAAGTGGGCTTAAAACCGTTTCAAAAACCTCAGTCCCAAAGTGACACCGGAGATTGAAGATGGTTTGTTAGTTAATGCTAAATGGATCTAAATGGGGCGACTTTGGGACTGAGTGTTTTCCCATCACCTTAAGGGCGATGTTATTTCCTCAATTCATGTATCACTTTGATGTCCATGGAAGCAGATTGTGGATTTTTACAAAGTGATGCTTTTAGAAAGTTCCACGTAGGCTGAAGGGGTATGCGTTTCTGCTTCTCAGCTTTGAATCAGAAGAGAGCCACAGCATGATACTCGTAGATATTATGACACAATATATATATATATATATATATATATACACCCCTGAAATCGAAGATGGAAGACGTGCGTACCCAACAGTGAGAGAATCGTCAGTAAAATTGCCAAAGCTGCAAATGCATATCCGTCGGTGTGTTTCAATGGTCACCAAAAGGTGAAGCAGTGAAGAAGGTCGTTGGGGAAAAGAACGAAAAGGTCATGTCTTTCTTGTGCCTGGTATTTTAAAAGGGGGTAGAACTAAGCAACGACATGATATGATTTGGGTTTGCCCCCAAAAAAATGCAAATACATGCACATACCACATCTTTATATAATATATTTGTTTGATCTTGGTTGCCTTGTGGCGTGATAGAAAGTGAAACTGCACACAACCACTCGATGGTGTCCTTAGCTCCTGCCGGGTACGCCGTTTATACGCCTTGTACTGTGCAATCTTTTGCAGCTCCACGAAGGAAATCGAAAACCGCAAAGAACTCCCCCAGGGGGCGCAATTACCCTCTGGTTATGTCAAACATAGCTATTGAAAATGGCCATTTATAGTGGATTTTCCCATTTTTCAGTTCGCTATGTTAAATTACCAGAGGGCATCTTTCCAGCCGGACAGATCATCACTTTCAGCGACAGCAACCAGATTTGTTTCGTAGTGCCACTCGTTTCCGCAAAAACGACGCTTTTGTCGCCTCAGCCTCAGCCGGCGGATGGTTTTGGGAGGGAACATCATCGAAGCCTGGGGTAAAGCCCGCTTTTCGGAAAGCCCAACCAGGCAGCACATGTAGTTCCCCAGTCCAAGAAATACCAACATCGTTGAAAATCACATCATTTTCCTCAAATAGCTGTGTTTGGATGGCAAAACACTCCCCCATGTTGCAATGTTCACTGCTAAAATCCTGTTAAATCTTCCATTTTCTGGTGAAGTCTTTCCGCAGATGTTCCATTTCTCCATTTCCATTCCATGAGAATCGAAGATGTTGGCCCATCTTAGGCCAAGCATCGGGCTCCGATTTTTTGTTTGAAGGACTGGGCGGAGGTGCAGAAACCGATCAGGACTGGGAGAATCCCAAGATTGGGAAAACATGGGAAGATGATAGGTAATCATGGGATAATCATGGCATCATGGATACTCAGCTATCAACTGCGTGATTTTCGCCAGGCTAAAAAATATTGGATTAGATCATCCTGGATGATTTTTCTGCTAGTGATGACTTCGTTCACAGTTTCTTGCAAGTCGAGATTTAAGCTGAAATCACCATGAAATGTCGTTGAGACATCCAAGAAATACAGCACAGATGAGCCGGCCAGTCCTGTTTCTGAATCTGGCGTGACCAGCCACTCACCAATGCCACCTTTCTAGGTATGGCTGGAAGTTTGAGGAATTCATCGGAAATGGCCATTCGAATCATTTCAGTTAAAGCATTACAGAAGCAGAATCCGGACGTAGATCAGACGACACGGTTTCTTTCATGAAATCCAACTCAAATTTTGCAAACAGCGGCTTTTCTTATCCCTTATTCGTGATTCGGACAATGTTTGACATGACTGAAACAGCAGTTGCATATGTTGCATGTTGAAAGTTGATGTTTATTTTCTGACCGAATTATCGTTTTTTTGGTGTTTGTCTGAAAAAGGGCGACTCTAAGATCAAGTCTTTTAACATGGGTTCTCTATGAGAAGTGCCAAAATGATCCAAAATGGGCAAATGACCATACTGCTGGTTCGATGTCAAATGTCCCATCAGTTTTAGTATCCCCAGTATATGCCACTCCCTCACCCCTGGTGTTTCCCAGTCACATCGTCACCCCAAAACCCGCAGGATGGGCAGTGGCAGTTCCGCAGCTCATCATCTGACTGAGGAGGAGGCCGAAGCTGGGTCGAGTTGGTTGGGGAATTCATTGGGCCAGTTTTTCACATGGGACACCAGAAAAACGTCATGGAAATTTGGGATTGTTCGATGATCTTCTCAAAGAATAACTCAAAGATACTCAAATTGATGCAACATGAGGAGGTTACAACTGTTGGATTTACCTTACGCACATTAGGATTTTACCATTGACAACGGTTTTTTTTCACCAGCAAAATTGGGTTTGATGTAGGATTGCCGCTAGAAAACCCATCAACATCTGGATTTTAGGCATCTTCAAAGAGCATACGCATCACCATGGGATTTAACCTGGAGCAGGAGATTCAATCAGATCAGGTCGAGCAAGATTGAGATTTCATGAGCGACTTGGGCGATCCAGCTTGAAGAAAGATGGGCGACTGACCATGTGATGGGTTTACTTACAATCTGGTTTTTTAAAGGTTGGACATCATTTCCTTTTAGTCCTTGACCTGTATTGCCACCACTTGAGATAGGCTTTAACCATGATGATCCTCAGAGGGACCGAATTCGCTGGTCCACCGGTCCACCCCAGAAGCTCACAGGCGGCAGCTGTGTCTGCTGGCCTGACACAGGCAACGAGAACATGTCATGAGAAGACTCGATGCCACTTTGAGGGCACACTATGAATTGGGGACCTGCTATGCTGTGATAGCTTGCAAGTTCTGTGAAAGCTGAAAAGGGACTTAGTCGAACCATGCTTGAGAAAATGCATCCATGTTGCTTATTTGCCTCATATGGTTCGTAATCTTCGCTCACACTTAGCACATGCAATTCATGATAAAGGCTAGGACGGCTAGGAAACAGTTCCATGTCTCAAAGTTCTTTGAGCCATATCTCAGCATTCAGTTCCCATTAGTTTCAACCCAACCTTGTGATTTTGCAAGGCTCCAAGCTTGAAGGACAAGTTGGAGAAACTGCAGGCTGGATGTCATAAAGCCCTTGAAGGCCCTTCGGAACGTTCTTAAATCTGTTTCAATTGTTGGAGCAAATTGCTATTGCACTATTGCCTGTCACACGCATGAATACTTGGTTGTTGATGTTGTCGATTCTCTAATATCATATTGTATTCCAGTGGGTACATCGATATTGTTGATGTTTTGTACAATATAATAATATAATATTCCAGTGGTACATTCCATATTGTAACCAATAGTGTACACATTCCAGTGATTTCACTTTTTTGTGCTTGAAAGCTACCGTGGGCAGGGACATTGGCCCTGAGGTGCATGTTGTTGGGTTGAGGAGTATGTGCTCCGAAAACGTGCTTAAAACACAGTTCTTTGATGGATCAGATAATTATGTAACAAATAAGTGGGATAACCCCCAGTCACCCTGTCATGAAAGGAAGTTCCGATAGATTTCCGAGTTCCGACATGTCTAGAAGGGTAGAACAGACAAGAGTAGGGAAGGGAAGAGATGAGCAGAGAAGATTAGAGAAGAGCTGGGAAGAGAGAGAGAGAGAGAGAGAGAGAGGGAGGGAGGGAGGGAGAGAGACAAGAGTAGAGAGGAGAGAGATGGAGAGAGGAGAGAGAGAGCGAGAGAGGGAGAGAGGGAGAGAGGAGAGAGAGAGAGAGAGAGAGAGAGAGAGAGGGAGGGAGGGAGGGAGAGAGACAAGAGTAGAGAGGAGATAAAAGAGTAGGTACTGGTAAAAGTAGAAATGAGTACGGAAGAGATGAGTCGAGAAGAGGAGAAGAGAGGAGAGGAGAGGAGAGGAGAGGAGAGAAGAGTACAATGAGCTTGCAGAAGTTAAAGGGAAGAGTAGAGAAGAGCAGAGAAGAGTAGAGTGGGGTGGAGAGGAGTAGAGTAGCAAAGAGAAGAGTAGACCATAGTAGAGCTAACAGCCAACAGAGGATACAACCACGCAACAGTAAGGAATGTAATGTTGTGAGGCTTATCCAATGTTCCTAGATTCTGTTGTGCTTCATGCATTGCGGGAGGCCGATGTGGAGAAGTCTGAAAAGCTGGAAGAGGAGGTGCGATAGTGCAACCAGTTCAGTTCATCGACTTTAGACTGAGCTGTTTCGTTGGATAAACTGTTGGGAGTCTCGAGTGCGTGACCAACACGCAAGCTACACTGCAAGAGGAAGGACTCGTTGCTCTTTCCATTGTTCAGAAACTGGTGCCAAGAAGCATGAGAAATCCGATTGCCTCCATTTCCTCTCAGCCCGTGCCATGTGTCCAACAAAAGGTTTTGATGCTGCAGAAGAGAGTGAAGGAACTGGAGGCCACAGACTCTTCCAATGATGTGCCAATGCTCGTCCTGTCAAATTCCACATGTTTTCGGGGAATTCTTGCTTTGGTTTCCCTGGGAATGGTGCATGTTGGCGCGTTTCGTGTTCGCTTCTTGTATTGATCCTTGTGAAGCAGCAACACTCCTTCTTAGCGTGCTGCAAACATGCAATATGTATGGCTGATCCAGGATACGATTGCACTCTGCTAGCCGAAAAAGGGCAGACTACGGAATGAGAACTCTAGTTTGCCACGTCGCCGCATGTTTGATGCTTGGGCAAGGCCGAAAAAGCTGCGCCAATAGACCCTGAGGTGCCACTGTGACTGTGGAAGACAGTGCTTGCTCTGGTACATTAGCTACTGTCATCCATGATCTAACTGACATTTACATTGTTGGAGCTGGGCCAGCTTTTCACACGTGCAGAAGACCCACTGAAACATAGGTACTCGTACTTTTGGTGGGGAGAGTAGCTGTGGTCCAACTATATTCAAATTAATTAAGGGCTGAGCGTTGTTGAAAGCCCGGGATTTGGCGATGTTTGGCTGCTAAAACTGTGGAAGCTGCGTTGGAGCCTTGCCAAAACTCTTCTTTGAAACTGTTCGAAAGCCATTTAGCATTTTTCCATATTTTTCCCATCTATAGGCAGAATGCGAAGTTGAGCACAGAAATCAATTAGAGTTTTCCATATGTTTTCCATCTCTGCACATCAATCGATTGAAGTTCTATGCAGAGCCTGCCTTGTGTAGGCAGACAGAGCCGCTGCAGAAGAATGTCAAGACCTCAGCGATTTGTGTTGTTTTTTTTCCTACCATCTAGTTATGACTAACAGTTTGCCATGGAAAGATCCACCATTTTTAACGGTAAACCATCTATTTCTATGGGTCACTCCCCATGGCTATGTTAAATAACCAGAGGGTAAATACATCATATATCGTTTCTATTCCCCATCCCTAGGTTTAAAGAATTCAATCAAGACCCACAGTGCTGCAGTCAAGAAGCAAGAAGCAAGAAAGCTCCAAAGAGCAGGACATGGTGATGTTTCCATTCTTTCTTAGCCCTTGGATGGTCTTAAGGAACCACCAGTTTAAGAATGTTTGATACGGCGGGGATGTACGAACTTTATCGAACTTTGATATTATACTATGTCTATCTATTTTTGGGGTACACCCTCCTGTTAGTTGGGCCAGGGCTTGTCGTTCTTCGAGGTGAGAACATCTGTGAAGCCGCACAGAAGGGCAACGTTGCTGCAGTACGGCATTTCCTCCGCACAGACCTAAGCACGTTGCATTTATAGAGAACGGATCAGCGGAAGACGGCGTTTGACATTGGATGATTTTGGATGATTTTGGCCTAGCTCTTGTTGAAATATAGCTAGATACTGTCTTTTAATATCTTGTCTTTTAATATCTTGTAGAACAATCAGTTGCAGAGAATGCATCTGAAAAAGAACTGTGGTACTGTAATGTTCTGAGATTGTACTTTTGTCTTGATACTATTCTCAAGAGAATCTACTGTTTTGTTTTGCCTCCTTGGTTTTCTGAGTTTTGAGATAGTTCTGAGGTGCAGAGCCTGAGAGCCTCGAGAGAAAGGAGCAGGGTGAGAGCCTCGGAGCTAGCGAAGCTGAAATCGGAAGTCTCATGATGCGACATCACCAAAGTTCGATGGAGGCACTTGAGGGTACAAGTAGACTTCCGATTTCCCACCTTCGATTGGTTTAAACCTGGCAGTGCACAGCCGCCTGCGATTGGATTGTCTGTTTTCCTCTCTTAGGAGGATGGCGCTCGTACGCAGAAGTGAGTGTTTGATGTGTGGTGTCGGATGGGGTAGAAGTGCTTGACATTGCAGCAGCATGCAGCAGCTGACGGGAAAGACAATGGTTGAGTCATCGCGTAAAAGGAATTATGTTAAACCTGTTTTGAACATTTTTGAACATTTTTGAACAATAGGGCAGAAACAATGACTCTGCCTTTCAAAACTCCCAAGCCATTTGCCAAGTTCCTGCGGCACCCACCCGTGCGCCGAGGTCTGACGCCGCTGCTGATGGCGGCTGAGGAAGGCCACAGCGAGGTCGTGGCACTGCTGTTGAAGTCCGGCGCTTCCCTGGAGGCGACGGATCACAGTGGCAGCTGCCTCAGCTGAGGGTTGGAAGCTGCAGCCAGGTGAAGAGTAGGGAAAAGGTCTGATGATAAGCTGCCTTTTTTTGTGCGAAGTTATCTGGATGAAACAAAATGAAGGGAATTGGTTTGATGACAGTTGTTTCATATATGTGCTGAGTTGTTCTGATAGAACGAATTCGATACGGCCACACTTGATTAACATTGTCTTCTCGCTGTGTGAATGATGATGCTGGTGCAGACATGAGTGATGAGTATGATTGGAGAAGTTGTTTCTTTTGTGACTTGTCCTGATGAAAAGATATGAAAACTGTGAAAGCACATTTGCCGGATTGAATCGATTTCACCTAAATAATCTCTATCCGCAAACCACAATGAAAACTGAGAGATCATGATTTTTAGTCTTGGATCAGGCAAAAAGGCCTGTAGATGTGATATTTAAAAGGACATGGTTTCCCATGTCGTGTCTTCAATCATGTCCTTCAGATCGACAGCTATCCCGAGGCCAGACGCCGCTGCACCGGGCGGCCAGTAAAGGCCACATTGAGGTTGTCGAGCTGCTGCTGAAGTCGGGCGCCCCCGTGGAGAAAGCGGACAAATTCGGCCGGGGCCCCGGAGCTGAATGGTTTCGCCAGAATGGGCTGGGTGGAGATCAGGTTTCATCTCTGCATCGCAGAACTACAAAACAAAAAGTCTGAAACTAGAAGTCGTTGTTTGTTTTTTTGGGTTTTCCCCCCACTTGTTTGCATTTGGCATTTTGTTGCAGGTTTTGTTTACCATGCCCAAAACCCGAAAAGACCGCAACGTCTCGCACATTTGCTTGACAATGCCCAACGAGTTCAGAAATATGGCTTCGTTCAGGCCTCCATATCAACGTGCCTGGATTTCATACTGTAAGCAGATTATGCGAAAAACAAATGAGCTTGCATGCAGAACCAAATCCCTGTCAGGTGCGATGAGTTAAACTAAACACGAGCTTAGACAGAACGAGCATTGCCTCCCGCCAATTGTGATGATGTGTTTGAGCCGAACCGCTTGTAAGGTAAAAGATTAAGACATTATTTTGTTCTGCAGTTACACCTTTTGTTTTTTGGTTGCGATCCAAGAAATCGTTGAAGATTTTGAACATATCCCGCCACAGAATTGTGATCATCCACACTGTCACCCAGGTCGATTCCATGAGCCATGGGTATTTTCTGGGTCCACTGATTGAACCGAATCATCCATGTAGATCTGTTAACCTTGCAGGATCTTTTGGAAAATGAGTGTGGCACATGGATTACAATACAAAGCTGAACTCATAGTTGCATGGATGTAAAGCCATGGGTATGCAAAATCCACCATCTAGTTCGATGATTTCCCATATGTTTTGTTGGTTTACTTTACGGTAACGACATTTAAATAGGTGGAGGGCGGGCCACACCGCGAGGGCCAGGAGGCAGTATAAAATACCAGCTCGTATATTTAAATGTAGTTACCGTATGTTTAAATGAATTGGATTCTGTATGTTTAAACGGCCGGGCGGGCCAAGGAAACCCTTCCCGGAGGTCGTTTAAAATACCTGTTCGTATATTTTAACATCCCGTATATTTAAATGTAGTTACCATATACTTTATGGATCTTTATGGATCTTTATGGTATATAGTAAGGCAAAAAGATAAAAAATACAATCTCATCAAAGTGTACAGTGATGATATCTGTTCTTTTCCAATGAGGGGTTTACCTATGTTACCATGACTGATGATAGCCATCGCCCATGGATTTCCCAAACCTCCACGGCTTCGCCCGGTAAGGCGTCTCGGCACTGCACTGGGCCGCCAGCGAGGGCCGCGCCGCGGTGGCGGAGAAGCTGATCTTGGCGGGGGCCAAGGTGGAAGCGACCACCGGCGACGGCGCCTTGGTTCATGGGGCCATGGAGCCATGGAGCCATTGGGATGACAACATCAGTTCGATCATCGGCAATGCTTTTTGCTGGGAAAAACCATGTTATTGTTGTCAAGTTGTCAAGCATCATTTTCTCCAATGACCACAATTCTCATATAACTAGAAAAGAGAACCGTTGCGGGCAGGCTTAGGACCTGGCCCCCTTGTTGCCTAGCGGCTGATGTTGAGGAACGCACTTTGCGACATTTGCCCACCAGGCTCAAAGGACATTGACATACGCTTGCATCAAACCTGTACTGCAATACTCTTCTCAAAACCCCCGAAACCTTCAAACCAAGACTCAAGTCACTGAAAGTTTCCCTTACCAGAAAAGAACAAAAAACGATTAGTCCAAAGGCTCTCCTTTCCCTACAAACTGGTTATATATAAACCAATTGGCATAACTGGGCACCACTTTGTGGCCGAGGCCAAACGCCGCTCTTCAAGGCCGCCTTCTACGGCCACGTCTCTGTGGTGGAGCAGCTGCTGAAGTCTGGAGCCTCCGTGGAGGCCAGGGACAGCTTTGGCCGCGGCCTCAGCTGATCAGCTCAGCCACCAAGAAATGCGGAGCTTAGGAAAAACCAAGCGGACTGAGGTCAGATATATTATATATATTATATATACATGCATATATATGCTCTAGAATATGTATGTTCTTTTCAAATTCTTTCTGATTTGTTTCTGTTTTGGTATTATGTAATTGTGTATTGTGATGTGGGATGTTTGTACTGTTTTTTGGTTCCGTTTTTTTGCATGTGATATTTTTGTTTGCAGGTTATGTTTACCACAGAAAAAAAACATGTGCCACATGACCACATGCGGAAAAAAAACACGAAACATGCACACGAATTGCAAGATTGCCCCCCCAAGGCACTTGTTGACCTTTGATTCTGGTTTGTCTCCTTTTCCATGTTTTGAATTGGGTCCATGTATCCTGGGTCTTGTTTACCACAGAAAGAACCATGAATCACATGACAAAGAAACATCACCATTACTTTTCGCATGGAAATACCCGATTGATGTTGAGGAATATGCACTTTGTGAAGCTGTGCCCAAGAGGCTGCATGTGGTTACCCTTGGATCAAACCACTTACAAGACACTCTTTTCAAAACTGCTGAAACCTTCAAACATCTTCAAACATCTTCAAATCTTGAGCCAAAATCATGTGAAATCAATGGACGTTTCATGACGTTTCCCTTGAGGCCAGACGCCGCTGTTCGATGCTGCTGAGAGGGGCTGTGTCTCTGTGGTCGAGCAGCTCCTGAAATCTGGCGCTTCGGTGGGGGCGCAGAGTGAGAACGGCCTCGGCCTCAACGGCAAGGGCCAGGGGAATCTTGGGAAGATCTGATGGTTGATGTATGTTGATGTTCCAATGTATAACTTTAATTATATATGTTACAGGAATTATACCTTTCCTTACAACGAGTTGCCTTTATGCCGAACTCATTCTGATTCTAATTTAAGCAACATGACAAGCAAACTTGGCCAATCGGAGTTGTTCTTGCGAATGAGGGGTGGTGTTTTTGTTGGAGACAGGAGGGAGGAGTATAATGTGATGCTTGCTAGAAGGTGCTGATGCAAATTTCGTTGGGTTGCAACATTCAGCGAAATAATGCCAAATGTCAGAGATAAGCAGACATGCGAATGCGGTATGGTTCACTTGGATACTCCGAAGGTATATCGCAAACCTCAAGCAGGTGACGCATAATCTGGGGAACGTCAGGCCCAACTCTTTGTAAGACAAGAGAAGAGAACACATGTTGTTTTGCACTGATCACGCTCGTCTTTGATTTTTTGTGTGTTCAAATTCTTCAGCATCCAGCATCCAGCCTCCAAGACAACCCGAAACACCTTTGGATTTCTGGATTTCGCCCAGCCACACTTCCCTGACGTCCCTGACCTCCACGCCTTGTACTGAGGCAAGACGCCGCTGCATGCAGCGGCTTGGAACGGCCAAGCAGAAGTGGTCGAGAAGTTGATCGCTGCGGGCGCCAAGGTGGACGCGACCAATGGTGCAGGCCGTGGCCTCAGGGACCGGGGCTGGCGGCTGCTGGTGTCGATTGATTGGGGGGATACGTTGAAAACGAACTGGTAATGATGGTTTTATTAGTTTTTATATGTTTTTATTAATAAATAATATCTAATTTATCTATTTTGATTTAGTATAAACTTGGCTGCAATGACCTATTAGGGGCGTTGTTCGGCTGTATGTTCATAGGAAGTTCATACTTGGGGGTGTCACCCCAAAAAAAGTGTGAGAAAGTCCGATGAAAATTGGTAACTTGTGGTTTAGCAAAATCTGTTACAGTTTGCTTTTTAGACATGGCGAATCACAGTTCCATTTTGCCCACAGAGGGCAAAGCAGACTTGGCAAGGAGAACTAATTTGACTAGGAATGTTTAGTGGTTTGATTTTTGTTTTGTGATTTTTAGTCTGGCCTTCTCTTTGAAATTGCAATGGTTTTGTGGGAATGGAATAATCATAATCTCTATAGAGAGAATTGCTGTCAGTAGGGGTTGAAAGTTGTTTAATGCAATGAATTTCTTGCAAAGATTCATGTGGTTTTATGATTTGATGTTGTTTCTATTTTCGCAGACTTGACCAGATACATCCAGTAAACAGGAGCTCTGGTGGAACGCCCCCAATTTTCAGACTGCAGAAGCTCTTGAAATCCAGAAACTTCTCCTGAACTCTATGCTGTTTTCCTTCCAGACTGGTGCCCTCAGATGTTTGGCAAAGAGACCAGCACACTTCCCATGTAGTTACGTAGTTCTTACGTGTTTCATCATTTTCATCAAAGTCGGTTTTCTGTCCACATCCGCCATGTTCTTTCAGCATTGGGTACCTCAAATGTCAAATTCAATGGTTGATCATCAGCCACAAAAAATGCTCGGAAGATCCATCGTTTCTGGCGCCGGTTTTACGTCAACCCCCAAGGCGAAACAGCTTACGACCTCGCCAAGAATGAGGGCCACCAGAAGGTGATGGACCTCCTGAAACCAGTTCCTTGGGATAAATGATCCAAGGGCCCATCATAGAAAGTGATCCATGGGATGAGAAAGATTGGGGAGTGACCATCAAAAAAAGGTGATGGCTTTGCTACTCAAATTGCACCACCCCAATGACCAACAGTAAAGGGGTGTCTTGCAGAATCTGGGGTTTGGACAACCGGTCATAATTTGTAAACCCAAGAGTAAACCACTCCCAAGATTACCAAAAATGGCTGGTAAAAATCATCCCCAATCGGTGGGTTTGTCATAGGCTTGACCGGTCACACTGAGGCCTGATCTCAACAGACGATGCATCAGATGAGAAACGGGGACGAGCCACGCTGCAAGGTGGTGCGACCGCAGTTAGATTTTTTACCCTTTGTTGTATGATTCAACCACCAACAGGAGGATTTAGCGTTGATTTATGTTATACGAGTTGATGCAAAGAACTACTAGAAGTAGGGTTTATGTATGTTTATGGTGTAATTAATTGTATAACTATAGTTGATGGGGTTTACACGCCAACAAACATAACTGGGGGGCACCACCTTGTATTAGCCTGAGACAAGGAATTGTAAGTCGGAATTGTTTGGGTGTCTGCCTGGTTTCTTTTCCCCATCGTCAGATCCACCAGAGGCCTTTTTGACTGGAACAACTCAGGCAGCTTCAAACAGTTCCGCAGCGCTGTGCCAGTTGGCCGGCTGGAATGGGTCCCAGCATGTTCAGTTTAAATGAATGACATATTACTGACCTGCATCTAGATATAGACGAGCAAATAAATGCATAATCAACAACTCCAAAGTGCACATGAATTGTCCTATCCCACATTATCCCACCATCAATAACACTCGTTGCTACAGTTGCATGGGTGTGGTGAGCGTATTTCCCCGCCCTTTGCTCCCAAAGGTTTTCTTTGGGAGATCGCATAAGCTCCCAAAGTCCGGAGTGCATATCCATCAGCTTGTTTCACCAGATTGCACTGTGTTTCACTCACCGAACGGTGAATCATCGCACTGCAAGTGGTCTTCCTGAAGGGAAAAGAGGATGTCTTGGAGTCATGGAAGGCCTGGCTCCCGTGGAATTGATCCAAGAGCGGCAAGAGCGGATCCTTTTGTGGATGAGAACAATCAGAATATTAACAATACAATATATGTTTGTTATTGTTTGTTCCCATTTCCAAGAAGAAACGTCGCACTCTCGGGATGAACAAAGGTTGAAGTTCTGTTCTCTATCATATCCTCTTACGACATCATGTTACATCTAAATTCTTGTTCATGAAGTTCTCATTTCCGTTGAACATACCCCTTTTTAGCTCGCCTAGACATGCCCGGTGTTAGTCGTAGTCTCGAAGTCTACTGCTGCCATTGGCTCTTTGCGAACTCCAAGGAAATTGGAGCCTGGAAGGACTGGGCAGGGGTGGGGGCTGATGTTCTGAGATGGAGAAATCAACAACCTTACTGAGGATACTGGGGACTATGTTTATACCCAGGTTTTTGTTTCAAAGGCTGGTGAGCTGAGCTGAATCAGCTGAACTTGCATGAAATCTCAAAGTTTGAGATACAGATGAGATGATCAGTTCTGATCAGTCGGTGTCCTATGGTGGCCTTGTGAATAGTCACGCGGAAGGGTTATGAACATTTCCATGGCCCTTTTTTTGTTTCCGGTTGTATCCCACTTCCTGTGATATCAATGTATCAGTGATATCCCATTACGTCCTGACTGGTTTGGTATCCCCACTGTGTCCCCATCCTGGCTAGATACCTCCTGTTTTCACAGCGTTACGCCCAAGTCCCACTCCTTTCAGGATGGCTAGTGACACTTCTGCAGCCTGTCAGCTGAGGAGGTCCCCATCGGTAAATGGGTGTTTTAAGCCAATGAAATTGAGATTTAAGGTGATGTATCACGGAAAAATGGGATTTACTATTATTGATTATTGAGCTTTCAGGTAATCAACCACGTGAAACAGTTTTTTTTAATGGATTGACGATACGTTTCTGTTGGTTCATGTTCTGCCCAGCTATTGGATTGATGGTGGATATATCATGATGTATCGACATATTTAGATTTGGGTAACTCACAACTGGAGGGCCCCTGCAAGAAAACTACAATGAAGGAGATCCCACGATCACCCAGAACGTGGACATGACTATATTCCTCAAAATAGGGCACCAAATAACCGACCAATTTAGTCATAGTGGGAAACCTTCCATTTTGGGGTTGATGATTTGGAGCCATGCCCATTCAATCCTTTGGAAGTCTTATGAATGAATAGTATGTTTATGAACGGTCAGTAATAGTGAATCTTTTATGCCCATCAGTTTGATTTCTGAAATTTGTGAGGTTCGCAGGTCAGTGCGTATTGATGGTTCTCCACACCCAGAATGTTGCACAGTCCACTGCAATCTCACTGTCCAATCTGCAGATCGGCAGGACAGCAATGCAAGAACCCAGGCTCAACATTGCCCAGCTGCATTGAGAACTGAGCTCGGTATTTGGCTGCCAACAAATAGGATGACTAGCTTGAGCGGAAAACAGTAACACCTCTGACTGTTGGAATATCTTGTCACTCATGACAGGGATCCACGTCACATCACGTCACCAAACCGCCCCAAAATGTACCAGAGATGGGTATTGCCTCAATATATATGCGTTTTGTTGGTGGCACAACGAAGCTTGGCTCTCAGGAAGTGCACCAGCTTCCTCCAGCTTCCAGGCCGGAGAATTCAAGCGCAGCCACACCATTGACAGCTGACACTTGATGCGTTTTGCGCCACACGGAGAAGTGAAAGTCGACAGCATTACATGTGCGACATTGTGCCACTACTTGCAGCCATTTTTGCAAAGCCTATTCGATCAGTTTGAATGGCAAACAAGCTCATTGACGTCTCCGAGCTCACGAAGAAGTCTAAGGCGCCATCTCAGAAACCGAGATCACCCCGAAGTTTGGTTGAAATGTTGAAATCATGTCTCGTCCAGAATCAAATGCGAACATGAGTTGAGCGGCTTAGCGGATCCAACACACCATTGCCACTCCGCAGGATGAAGGTCTTCTCCCGCAGCCCCACCAGCCGACATACAAGCTCGCCTTGGTCGAGATTTACGTCGAGAATGCCAAGGCTCGACAGAGAACTCCCCGAAATGCGGTCTCTTACGGGACACCCTCTCCTGGTTGGTACAAAGTAACTTCGCCCAACCGTTTGTATTTCTTGCGTTCGTTTCTGTCCCTATTTTGAACATCTTCCAGGGCAACCCTGGCGGCAGCGATAAGCTCACGAACGGCCACCGTTTCGATTCCATCCCCATTGCCAATGGCATGATCGAGAACGGCATGAGCTGCCAGATCGTCTCTCAGCTGATCCAGGATTCTGCATCGTGAAAAGGTTCCCCTTTCCTTAGTTGAGGGATGTTCAAAATCTTTTTTGTGGGTTCTTGGTTGTGCCTCGGAAATCAGCTTCGCGGCTTCTGAGACTATATAATAGTAAACCTCTATATAAATTATTTCCGCCAAGACGAACGGGTTTTCAACAAGACTCAGCTGTTTTAGCACTTTTAAGGTTGAGTTGATATGAGTTGATTGCATCATCCAGTTTTATCGGAGCTGAGGTGAATTATGTCAAGGAGGAACACCAGAAGTTTTTCAATGTCCTGAAGCGATTCGATGGTGTCATCGTGCGCTGTAACCCGGGTCAGATCAATGCAGATGGTGGTGATCAGAATGCATTCGATGAGTCCATGTTGAAACTCTCCAAGAAGATTCCTGTTTCTTGTGAAGACCAGCGATGCTGGTTTTAGTATTAGGTGCGATGCCAAAGCAAACATGTGCGTAAAGTTGTGCTATGCTTGAGGTAAAAGAAGCGTGTGCGTTAATGTGTGTTTCCGATGGCATTGAAGAGCAAGGCGTGTGTAATTTGCGTTTGTAAGCAGATTGAGGAGAGCGACGTGTGTGCTTACATGAGGGGTATAAGACGTGTGTAAGAAGCGAAAGACGTGTATGGGATTGAGTAGCTAAGACGTGTCAAATGTGTGTTGCGTCTATGGCTGAGGAGTCAGATGTGTGTCTGTGTGTGTGTGCGTGTGTTTGTGAGTAAGTTTGCCTTTGTGATCAGGTTGAGGGCGACGTGCGAGGAAGTTTCTGTAGTTTCCCGTGATGTTGAAGAGCAAGATGTGTGTAATATTTTATGAAACTCGTGCTGCTTAGCAGATTGCGGAGAGTCCTGTGTGTGCGTGTATATTTTTGTGCTTCAAGACGAGTGTGTAATAAGCGACGGACCTTTGTAAATTCACATTGAGAAAATCGGTGTTTGCTGTTGGATTGAAGTAAAAGATGTGTGTGTGTGTGTGCGCGCGCGCATTTTGCGTGTGTGATCAGGTTGAGGAGCAACTTGTGTGTAAATTCTGTTGTGGAGTTGAAGAGCAAGACCTGTGTGTAATGAGCGACGGGTGTGAGAGTTTGGCCTATGACATATGGGACAGACATATGTGTATCGCCTTCATGATTGAGGAGAAAAATGTGCACATTGTTTGGCGTTGCCTATTTGATCAACGAACACATCGTGTATGTGGTGGTCGATCTAAAGGTCCTTGAAGTCCTTGTAAGGAGTTTTAATTGCGAAAACCGTGCATGTTATGTTGGAAACCCTCGCGAAAGTGTTTTTTCGAGTTCGCGAAAGTAACATTTTTTTCGAGAAAGTTTCGCGAAAGTCGGATATCATGATTGCATAACACAGGTTCCGCGAAAGATAAACATGGAGTTCGCGAAAGTTTCGCGAAAGTAACATGTTTATTCGTGAAGAAGGGCCGTTCCCGGATGGAGGAATTTTGATCAAGAACCATGTAAACTCGTGCTGCCTATATGACATATGATGGAGGCGAAAGACGTGTTGGTAAATTCGTGGTGCCTATGTGGGGCTGAGGAGCTCTCACTCGCTAACTCTCACTCACTCCCTCCCTCGCTCGCGCACGGGCTTCATCATGCTCGCCACGCAATCTCAGTCGCACACACACACACATGCTCACTCAACTCACACCGCATTCACACTCACTCATGCACACACTTTGGTAAACTCCATAATGGAGAGGGTGAAATGAGATGAAATGATAACCGTCATGTCGTGTTGTTACATTAGCATGTCATGTCATGTCATGTCATGACATGTCGGCTTGGGTGGTTTTTGGCTTGGCCACCTTGCCATTTCGGACGCAGGTACGTTTTCACGACGACATAGATGGGTCTTCGTTGGCCCGTGCCATCTATGCGTCCACGGGCCCCCTGCTTTTCCCTTTGATTCAGGGTTTCTCACACACAGCAAGCCACTAGGGCACGATGTTACTGTTCCACTGGTTGCTCCCTTAGATCCAAGGTTTTCACTTAGACGTATATCAAGCCGCTGAGCACGATTTTTCCAAGAACGACTTCCCTCGGTGTGGTTGTTTTGGACTGAATGTGAGGAAATCACCCCTCAGTGCTGTTGGTCTTGAGTCACATATGTCGAAAACAGGAGTCAAACAAACCTACTTTTTGAAACTAGACGAATAAAACTGGTGGTTTGAGGTGAGGATATTAGGTATTAAATCAAAGCTCCTACTTGACCAAAGAACCAATCAGCAAGTATGCCGAAGCATCTGAGACGCCTTGGCTCGTAGTACTTTCTCGGGATATCCGAGCGATACGTACCTTCGAATTAAGGACTCAACATCATCTTTTGCTTGTTTACGTGGGTAGCTGTGTCGAGCAGCCAAGCAAATCCGGCTGAATGCTGCTGATAGTTTGTGTTGCTTTGATGCTGCTGAAGCAAAAGGTTGGAATTGCCAAGTGTTGGTTGGTTGTATGTGGGATAAGGTCTGACGATCAGGGTCGATTGTGCAGCCAAGAAAGGATAGGTCTGGTTCTTGTTCAAGGAGAACCGGAGGTTCATAGAAAGTGTCTGTGAGAAAGTGCCGGATGCCTGCATGATGTTGTTGTGATTTGTCGATAAGAACAAGTCGGTTGTCAACGTATCTGGTGATATAGATACGGTCAGAGAATTGTTGTAGGAGTAATTGGATTTGTGGCTGTGTGCGCCACTGATGTTCCACATGGCTAACTGTAATGTTGGCGAGAACCGGGCTGATTTGATTGCCGATAGCGCTGCCACGTACTTGCTGGAAGGTGTGGTTCATGTGTGTAAAGATTGATGCTTGCAAGGATAGTTGACAAATGTCATAAATGTCGCCGAATCGGATTTGGTGATGGCTGTTGGCTGCTTTGCGAGGCCGGCCTCGGAACATCCGCAAGGTGTTGTCTGTTTGTCGAAGATTGACAGTGAACATTGTATTGTGATCAACATGTGGATGTTGTTGTTTGTAGAAGTCAAGGAGTGTTCGTACCGAGTGCATGATGCGCCGTGCTGGAATAGAAGTGAAAAAGCCGGCAAGGTCTTGATTGTGGACTGTAAGCTCTGCGTCTGGTGGTATGTGTGTGAGGAATTGTTGGAGATTGGAAAAGATCTGTTGAAGTGACTGAAGACCAAAGGTGTTTGGCATGCAAGATTGGAGTAGTTGTTGAAGGATAATGGCTGTGGCTTTGAGGAGTTTTGCGAAAAGAAACCTGCGATAGTTGATAACAGGTCGAGCTGCAAGAAATTGTTTCTTCTGTTTTAAAAGAACATAGGCCGTGGGGCATTGGTTGGTGCTGCTGCAACCCCACTTGTATTTGCGCAACCAAGGTTGGTTGGCAAGTTGTTGGAGAAACTGTGTTGCTTGTGTTGGTGTGAGAGTGGTCTGTGTGTAAACTGTAGTGTCTCCAAAAGTCCTGCGAAGAACGGTCCAGTAGAGGTATGGACAGAAAACAACAATGGCTGATGGTGCATGGTCCCGACAGTGGACCACTAGTGATTTGGTGATTGACTTAAGGTATTTGATGTCACGATGCGTGACGGACTCTTGTGCGTGTGTCAAGTGCTGTGTCCACTGCTCATGTACATGTTGGTGCCAATGTTCATAGGTGATGTTGAAGAGATTGTGGTGTTGAAGCCAGCGTTGTAATGTTGGCCATGTGCATTGGATGTAGTGTTGTCTGGTAGGATAGACCTGCGTGCCGGCATGTGTGGATAAGAATTGTTGGAGGCGGAATGGAATGGTTAGATGTCCTGCTGGACTGGCAATGTGTGGGGAATTGTCGAGTGTAGTGGTGAGGAGTTGCGGGTGCTGTTTTGTGATCTGGTGACATAAGCATGCTGGAGGAATATGCCACTGAAATTGTCTCATCCAACTGAAGTGAGAGAATAATGCTTGTTTCAGTGTTGTGTGTTTGCCTGCTGTAATGTTGCATTTTGGCACGTGGAAGGGTGGTAGCCACGGTTTTTGTTGTCTGGCTAATTGGCGAAGCCAGATGCGTGTCTGTGTTGCAAAGATTGTGTGACAAAGAAGTGGTAAAATTAAGGGTCGTGGAGTGGGTGGTAGTGGTAGTTGTCGAAATTGTATGGCTGATTTGATAAGGCTGCGTACACGGGTGCGTGGTGGGTCATCCATTTGGTTGGCCAGTTTGTAAAGAGCAAAAAGGTGATTGGAGTGGGTGGAACTGGATCGAATGTGGCGTTGCATGTCAAATGAGCGTTGGCTCTGTTCAGCAAGAATGTGGAGTTGAACCCAAGCTGTGGTGTGCTTGGAAAGATTGTGGTCGTAAAATTGGAAAACTTGTTGATACATCAGTCGTCGTCGAAGCTGAGCGTAGAGCCGGTTTCCGATTCCCAAATAAGTGGTGCGTAGTGCTTGTCGTAAGTGTGGTGTTGAATGTTGTTTTGTGACTTGTCGTTGTAGGATAAACGGGTAGTTGAGTGGTGGACGCCACTTTTGGATGATGTAGTTTTCCAGCGTTCGTGTTTGTAATGTTGTGTTGGTGTGTAGTAACGGCAATGCGACAAATTGATAATAGTTGTTTTGGCTGCAAAACCAATGGAGTGCCAATTCGCATGACACCGGTTGTGCTTGTTTTAATTGTCTCAGCTTGCGTTGTCTGGTGTTCTGACGATCGTGTAGCGTGTGTATGGTACTGCCAATGTAGTGTTCTGTGCTGGAAAGACGAATGTTGAGTCCCGATATGACAATTGCATGAAGAAGTATATATACAGTGTTGGATTGACAGAACATTTGTTGCAACTGTACAAAAGTGCGAACAGACTTCAAACATGTTCTGTCAAATCTCCGATTCCATTTTCGACATGGTTGTTTATGAGACTGGTGAGTACACCAATGAAGAAAACAAAAACCAACTGCAACACGTAGGTATGTTCGAAAAGCAACAGTGTCATAAAAATCATCAGGTGGAAAATGTTGCAAGAATCCGAGAAACGCAACGCATGCCGCCGAAAACTGTACATGAGTCGGATCGCCGCGATCTAGTCACTCGAGTTGAGTGACCGCAAACAGCAGCAGCTTGTAGAGCTCCTCATTGCGCGCCTTTGCCGCCAGCGCCACTGGTAAACCAAGCGATGCTGCTTTGTCTGCAAACGTGCTTTGCTCTGCTTTTGAAATTTTCTTCATGAGTTGATGCAATGTGCTCAATGCCTCCTGAAGGGCTGCCTGGTGTTGTTTTGGAACTGGCTGTTTCTTAATCCAAGCGTCCACTGTTTTTGTTGCCATTGTATGTGGTGCGGCTGTGGTGAAAGGACGTGTGGTGTTTGTGCCTGGTAGATTGTGGATGCTGTCCTGTAGGTCGGTGATTGTGGTTTGTGGAGGAGTGTCACTTGCACTGCGAGGAGTGGCGGTGTGTGCTGAAGTAG